AAATGTGAATAGTATAGTAGAGTTTAATAAAATAGATGGCAACCAATAAAAGCTGAATGTGAGAATTACACAAATGCTGTTGCTGCTGTTGCTGCTGCGCTCTCTCTCTCTCTCTCTCTCTCTTAGAAACAAATTTTATATATATAATAATTTAAAATGTAAATTTCCCCATAGAGGGAGAAAAAGAGGAAGAGAAAGAATAAATCGCGTGCACAGGAATTGTATCGGTACGTCAGTCAAGCTTTATCGCTTGTCGTATACTTTTGTAGAATAGAAAAAGACAAAATAGGATAGAACGACAAATATCAATGTCCTTACATATCGCTCGTTACCCACGTCGTTTTCCTTGGAACTTTCGCCGCATTTGCCGGGTTAGCGTCCTACCGCCGATGCCGGGAATTCCAAATTTCAAATCCACTCGCAATCGGCACGATTGTGCGGCCGTCCGCGTGCAATTTATCGGAATTTATTGCCGCTCTGAGATGAAAGGTCTTGACCTGCGGTGAGATGAAAAATCGTCCGCCCAGGAATTTGCGGAACTCGTATATTTTTGCGCTCGCCAGTCCTCTCGATGACTCCATTCATCCATATATCGGATATCCACGCGGCTTCCGTGTTTACCCTCCGATGTTTAAAGAGAATTACGGCGAGGGTTTTTAAGATACATCGAGACGACCTTTTGCTGGTAGCATTGCTGCGAGCTTGCTCGGGCAATTCACTCGGGCAGGTCTTATTTATTTTCAGGCTTACAATGTCAACCGTATGAAAGCTTTCTTATATCATAATATAGACCGGTGACGTACGGCAGATATATGAAACTTAATCTTCTTCCTAAATCATTCTTCATTATATTATCGTTCCGACGTGTACGTTGCGCGATTGCACGTTTTGTCTAGGAAACGGCGGCGGAAGGAAATGTGTCGGTGTAGAATATATTTTGGAGAGTCCGTCTCTCTCGCTTGGGGCTCTTTTCCTCCCTGGACCGAAATAGAACGAGTTAAGCCGCGACAATGTTGGCGAGCATACACCGGTATGTGTGTGACGAGATGGAATTCTTTTATAATCCACGAACCACCCCTACGCAATACAGATATTACAGCGATAACGTACTTCTTGCTAAAATGTATTTCCACGCGGAGTGTTGCGATTTTGCTATTCTCACGTCCGAGATGTAAGACTCATTCTATCGCAATATTTCATCGGCACGAACGGAGATAAAGCGCGTGTTTTTCCTTCACTTCACCCACCCAATATTTTTCTCGCAGCCAGCGAAATGCAATTAAATCACCGCGACGGAAACTTATTTTCTACCTTGCCACGGAGGGAAGATTTGTACCCGTGTCGATTTTCACTTTTATTCCCGAGAGGCATCGAGGATAGAGCAAATTTTAATAAAGCGGAAACGATTTCGAATTATTTTCGCTGTTAATTTATGTAATAAGTAAATTTATTTAAATTGCCAATTTAAATGCTATAGCAAATGAACATTTTTTATTTATTGACGTTCGACGTTCGTGATTATGAATCGTTCTGGCGCGCCTGTGATTGACATAAAATTATTTTTTAAACAATTAATGGTAGTCCCGACGTGATAGAGAATACCATCGCGGCATTTCCCGTAACTTATGACCTTTCTGTGATATTCATAGAGAAGAGCTCGATTCTGTAATATACATACATATACACGTATATATGTATATACTATTATACGTTCGCCTACGTAATTTCGCATGAAGTGATGCTAATTAAAATATATATTCTATAATCTTTTGACGCACAACGCATTAATTTATAATATCTCAGTCCTAAAAAATTCACGGCATATTTATCGCAGAGACACCTTTCGTCGTGTATTTAATTATGAATTATGAGAGGCTTCCTTTTTTTTAGGGAAATATTTTCGCGAATAAATTTTTCTCTAAATTCTGCACGACGAAAATATAATTAATTTACCCATCGCGCGTCTTACTTTAATTAATTCGAGCATACGCATTTCTTTTTTGTTGATTCCTTTCTCCTGACACCCTATTTATTCTCACTTCCTTTGACTGCCTGTTATTACGCAAGTCGTCTGATGTATGCAATTAATTAGGATTACTTGCTTACGCGATCCTTTAGCGCATTTCAGAATCGTACTTGTCGCTACTTAATCAGCGTATTAATATCATTATCATCATCGTAACAGGGGGGGGCGCGTATGTCGCTAATTATCGCTCGTATTAAGTAATGAGCTTTTGCGTATGGCATAATCCTCATGACTGCCATTTGCATCATTTAATTTTAGATCGAGATCCTTGCTCGCGCCTCGCGACATGTTATCCAAGAGCAGGAAGTTATATCCGCTTTAGAATGTTATATCCAGAAATAACTTAAGACGATTTTATTGTGAATACATCATAATTGATTTATTGACCTTTTGACGGGCATATATATATATCTTGTATTTCTGGATTTAATCAAGAAATTCCAGGTGTATATATACACATATCCTGATTAATCTCAGAAATACAACGCTAATAAAGTGCACAACAACAAGTATCGTAATATCAACCTTTAACCTTTAATTTTTCACTTATATTTTAAACAAATTGCGATATTATACCCAGAAATATTGAAGCGAGCGAGTTTACTATAATTACACGATGATGATAATTATATTAGGTTAATTGCGTACACGCGCGATCACTTGGCGGGCTGCCGAAAAGCGATAATAATGCAGCTCGGCAAGCAATATTGCAATATATATCTTCATATAATTATCTCGTTATAATGTAAACAAATTATAGGCAGACCCGAGCTACGTTAAGACGCGTTATTTTTACCCTCTTTTTTTCTGCTTTTAACAGTACAATTTATTCACTAATGATATTAGCGAACAAACGAGGTTGATTAGTAATTATTTGATGGCGATGTTTGTGCTGTCCTCGAAGATTCTCGTCGCATCGAGAGTCCGCAATTCCGCTGGAGGATGGTACGGGTAACTGCCAAAATTATTCCGTTCTCATGATACACTGTTCCCGGGGGAGAAACGCAATTTTCTCTCGCGGCAGATGGGAGAGAGGCGGGGGATAAATAATTTGCTGATTACATGGCATGCGATTTTCTCTTGGCGCACGTTATGCACAATTGTGTCAGGCGATACATCTCCTACGGTAGTGCTGCGGCATGCGATGTACGCGGGGAAATAACGTTGCAGAAACGCAAAAGAAGTGCGAAGTGAATCTGGAGCGATATCGCTCCTGGCACTTTTTTCCAAGTAATGATCGATTACGACACACGCAACAGTTTTTTCGACGGGCGCTTTTCAGCGGAGAAGTAAAATTAATTGTAACCGATGAAGTGGTGCAGCTTGGGCACCTCCAAGTCCCTCGCTCGCGTCTCGGTTTCTTTTTTATCGACGTGAGATTGAAAGATAATCTGTTTCTGCGTTGTTCCACGTACACAGAGAAAAAGGTTTCTTTTCATGCGCTGTTTCAATGAAACAAATTTCAATCAAATACCCAAGGAAATCTTTTTCTCTGCGTATATTAACGCATACGCGCGCTACCGGCTGTAACGGCGATGCGGAAAGGAAGATAAGACGTAGGATAATGAGGGGGATCGGTAGATATGCAGAAAAGTCGAAAACAAAGTCGCTTAAGGGGATGCTGGAGTGATTCTGCACTTTTGCACCTTTCTAACCTAAAAACTGTCAGTTCGCGGAAACATTTGTGTAATATACAAATTAAATGGCTTACGTATACAGATCGAAAGCAGCTTGCTATTCCGGCCAAATGAAAGAACAATATGGCATCACTGAAACTAAGTTTGTAAGTCTAATAAAAAATAATAGTGAGCAACACACATACTACATGTACTGTATTTTTGTGTTGCTCACTATTTTTTTATTAGACTTACAAACTTAGTTTCAGTGATGTCATATTGTTCTTTAACTTAGCCGGAATAGCAAGCTGCTTTCGATCGTCTGTACACGTGCCATTTAATTTGTGTATTACACAAATCTTTCCACGAAACAGACAGTTTTAAGTGCAAAAGGTGCGAAAGTGCAGAATCACTCCAGCATCCCCTTAACTCCTCAGAGCAAATGGTGAACAAGCAGAGGGAAGCGATCCGGATGTATTCCGGAGGTATTGCGTACGCTCTCGCGGGAAATGGATAAAATTCGATGCGCGATAAGTCGACGTGACACACGGTATATTTGTTGTGGGATCCAATTTGGTTAAAACTGGATGTTCGCCTGAAATTGCACGGGCGTGATAAACAAGAGGCTGCACGTACGATCTCGCACGAGCGATAATAAACGAAATTGGAAGCGCGCAGAAACAGGGACGTCGCGTCGCGGCCCCCTCGGCGTATGTACGGGTTTTCGGCGTAATCTTTCGTCGCTCGCCGACCGAATGTTTGTTTCGCATGCTATCAAGGGTGACTCGAGATCCGTCCGCGATATCGAGAACGCGCGCGCGAGAAGCCCCCGCAATGTCTCTCAACAAATAGAGATTTATTTCCGCGTATCGGCGAGTAATTCGCTTATTTTATCTCTGGAGTGCCGAGAGGTACAGTTTATTTGAGTGTCACAAGCCGTAAGCGCAATCCTACGCGAAGCGGCGCATTACTTTTCATCGTAAAAAAAAAAGAAACGCGGGTTTATTGAATTAGAGGCGAAATCGCGCGCTACGCTCCGATCATTTTTTTTCTCCCTTTGATCCGCGATCTGACGATTCTTCTCGGACGAAATACGCGTCGATGTAAGCACGTGTCTGTGTCGATTGTACATATTTAATGTATACGTGTGTATGAGCGCGAGGACAGAATGAGACTCACGTTTGTTATAGTGTCACCAAGCTGTCACGCCTGCATGCGAACTTACGCAAAGCGAAGTAGACGCTGACTTTTCGATAAACGATTCTATAGCAAAAGCCGGTTAAAACCTGACCCACCTGACACACGAGCGGGACAGGTGAGACGTCGATGATGAACTGTGTCTTTTCTTTCAATTGCAGCCATGGCGAGGACCTCATCGTTACACCCTTCGCACAGATTCTTGCTTCTCTGCGCTCGGTCAGGAATAATTTCTTGTCGCTCACGAATGTACCGACGAACAAGTGAGTAGATTAACGCTCGTCGCTTAATACCGCGGGGCTGGTTTGAGGCTGTAACTGATCGACCTTTCGCCTCTTTTGCAGATCACGAAGGAGCAGTGGCCAACAGGGCAGCAGTACGCCACAACCACGGATTTTGGCGCCAGGAGGTAACCGATGATACACTACTACGAGCTGCCTCGCATTTCCCATTATTTCCGCCTCGGATGGCTCTTTTAACTTGCATATTTGCGCCGAACGTTAGCACTTCATTTCAAATCTTTGGCGATTTCATCTCCATTTAATCTGATTTAATACGCTGGAACGCAACAATTAATTACCTCTTTTTTTTTATTTACCATTAAATTTCGTTAGCTCTCCCGCTCGCGAAATGGAATTTAATGGGCATCGTTATATGAACAACCGAATAATTTCTATTTGTTTTTATCTTGATTACTGTTATTGGAATTGTGTCACGTGACTCTCTTATATCGTTAAACATTTGTCATTTTATACGATATCCTTCATGGATTTTTCATCACGCGTGAACGTGGACTCTTGAATTTCCTTTCGTCAGAAGTGTAAGGTGCTCCATTTTGTCTTTTCATTAATATTACATCAGGTTGCAACTTCATTTCTTAATTCTCCAAGTTTATATTCCGACAAGAATTTTATACGCCTTGTTTCTGGGTCATGTCAATACTATTACAGCTATTCCGTGTTTATGCGGTTCATTGGAGAAAATCGTAAAACTCTTAATCAATGCCGTCATGTGCGTCCACCGTCTTTAAAAGAATACATTCGTTATTGTGATTGTCCAACGTACGTTCCCTGTTCTACCTTCTTGCGAAATTTTTGTTTTTCTTTATTTCCGAAATGTTGTTTTTATATTACGCAAGTGCTCTTTGTTCTGTGCAAAGCGCTCGAAATATCTCGCGCATTTCTGAAGAATTGCATTAAACTTAGAAAATACGGAAATAAATCGAAGCTTCCGCAGCGCTGCTTTAATCTCGATCAAATTCGCATTGAAGTCTTTTCGGTAGATAAAATCCTTTGAACGTTGATTTAGTGCCCGTTAGGGAGAGAAAGAGGGAAAGTGAAATGCGCTTTGACAATATTAAATTGACTTCTTCGAATTTTTCAGAGGAGCCCTTCATGAAGCTGGCTGTAGAAACGATAGAGGAACTAGACTGGTGCTTAGACCAGTTGGAGACCATTCAGACTCATCGATCCGTGTCGGACATGGCATCCCTGAAGGTATGACCTTATCCGTTTATATTTCTTCCGTCTCTTTATTCTTTCTGCAACATGTTCTCTCAACGCTCGATTTCTCGTATATCTTGCGAAGCTCAAAGAGGTTCTGTCTCGCGTTATAGCCGCCCATATACAAGATGTCTCGCGTGGAATCTGTCAGGCTTTAGGAATACGTTATTCAAATGATTTTAAGCAGAAGAAGTCACGCGGATGATGCGATTCCATCGGAAAGATCGCGATATTTTTCGAATAAATTCTTTATATTCTTAAATAGGTTTCTTTTCGGCGACAGTCACTGAAAGAAGATAACTATATTTGTCGCCAAGCCAGAAATCGGAAGATTCGTTGCCTTTTTCTTGCTTGAAATTATTATTTCGTATAACGTATATATCATCATTTCCGGATTTATCACATCTTGTAATTTAATGCAAAAATTAACCTACGTCGTGACGATGCATTTGATATATTTTTTTTCTTTAACGTACACATAATTAATAATTAATAAAGCAGTTTCTTCTGATAACTGTGCAAAGAAATATGGATAATTAGGTCAAGTAAATCCAGTGTCACGCACAGTTCTTACCGATTTGATTTCTAATCTTAATTCCGTTTCGTCTTACGAAAGAGGTGGAGTAAAATTCTGTTTTGTTTACGCATTCGCGCAGAATTATTTGATTATATTAGCGGCTTTATATGAAAATCATTTCGCGGTCGCTAAGAGGGAAGCCAAACCTTTATCTAGGCCATAAAGGGATTATCTCGTACATCTCTCGGTTCAAATATTAACTAAGGATAAATTTGCGACTGTGCAAATTAAAGAATTCAATTTCGCATTAAACGCGACCGTATTTATTTGCTGGCGGGTAATAGGCACTTATCACCGGACAAAAACAATCGTTTCTCGATCGCTGCGTTCGACATCCTAGCCATGCAATTTCCGCGCTGATCGTTAATCGTTTGCGTTCCGGTCGCGAGAATTTCCAATTTCCATGACCGCGTTGGTAAAGTCGGCGCGAAAACAGGATCATTTGAGTGCGAGCGCGGCCAATTTATTCCCTCTTCGTGTCACAAGTGACAGCGAGGAGAATCGCGATTTCATATTAGCGATTAAATTGATATAATTGCACAACGGTGTACGCGGGAGAAATTGGAAATTTAACCGGTGAGTATTAGCGAGAGGGGGGATTATTTTTTCCATTTTCCTCTCTTTCGAGTCCACGTTATATTGAGAGGGCTTTCAAGGCCACGAAAAATTTCCCGATAAAATGAAATTTCGCGAGAAGTTGGGGCGAAACTTTTCTCATTTATCTCGCACAGACTCAAAGTCATCCTGGCGTGGATGTGAATGTTCTTTTATGCGCTCGGAATATTTATTGCGAGGTTTGACGTACTTCAGTTAGGTCTTATTCCTTTACGTCGCGCGCAAAGATCTAGCGTTGAAAGCGTAAAGAATGTTGCTCTTAGCTATTTCGTGCGGACATTCGTCCTAGGAGGATCTTTTTCAGATTCCTTGTTGAATAGCTCCTGCTTTAGCCGACGCATGATTAAACTTCTTTGAAGGCAGTTAGGTAAAAATGTGGTTTATTAAAATTTAAAGCAAATGTGACGTCGCAATTTTTCCGGAACGCAAGGCCACTCGGTTTACTCTGGCAAAAATGTCGTTTGCCTTTTGCACTTCTCGATCGCGTAGTTTTGCTTTCCTTCGCTAAGCATTAAATTGATATTTTTTTAACGTTATTTTTACCTCTTGATTGACCCGGAAACGCCACGTGTAGCCCCGTGTGTGGGTGTTCAATTAATCCGAATTCCTTTCAGAAGATTTATTAGAAAAGCGAAACAAAAATATTGAAAAGTCAAAACGTAAAGAGCTGCGTAAACACTTTGTCCGTCTGACGGAAAATCCGTCGCCAATTTCTAAGATAATTCGTTCGCAAGGAGGCTTCGGTACTCTCTTTACCTTCATAAAGACGTAATATCGACTTAGTAACATGACATGCGTAATTGAAAGCGCTGACATAAACGAAAATCTCATTTTTCCGCGAAGTCACCATTATTCCTCAGTGATGGAGAAGTTATTAAAGATTTTCTACCTTTGAGCATTCTCGCGGTTCTTTAATCATTATCGTTGGAATTAGCGAATTTCCCGTCGCTCCTTGCAGTTGCTGCCATTTGCGATAAAATCGTAATATGAATTTCATAGGTTCTTTAAATTTATTAAAAACTATTTGTGGTACTCGCGTAAGAATCAAGTATTAACTGAGCCAAGTATTAGCTGAAAGTATTAACAATAAATGAATATTATAAACGATTACTGTCTTTGCGGTGCCATGCGTGTCTTTTTATATATTTGCAGAAAGCGATTATGCTTTTCTATTTCGTCGTTTCTGTCGACCGTCCCTGCTCCCAAGCATCCTTGACTTGTTCACGTAACTTATTGGCATCGCTCTTATAAAAGGGTATTCCTTCGTAAATTTTTTGCAAATATAATTACAAGTGGAAACATAAAACGTCTGAAAATATAAGACATAATAAGGTGCACCTTCTTCTTTCGGTGTTTTGCTCATTACCGTGGCCTTTCTTCTCCTGTGCCGCGACCCAAATATCTCATGTTTATTCTCATCTTATGAATTATTCATTTGCATAAACGCAAGCGGCACGACTTGCCGAGGGAAATGCGTACCATTTTCATACGCTATATGATCCTGATTATTACATCCCCAGTCCAATACACGTGCATAATTTCTTGGCATTACGTCAACTCTACACTTTCTTCTCGCTAACCAAAAGAAACTGTTTTGCGCGATCATATGACTCGCATAAGAATCCCGGTGCTCCTTGTTTGCCCGAGTGACGTCCACGTAAATGTGCCCTGAAAGCAAGATGACATGTATATCCACTTTAACGAAGAAGGAAAGTCCAGACGCTGGTAAATTAATGCAGTCCTTACCAGAGCAAGGTAGAGAGAAAACTTGCAGTTTTGTACAATTATTTAGTTAGTCTTTTAAAAGGTAGATATTTAAAAATTGAAATACCAAAGAAGGTAAACACGTTTTACGTTACTTGCCAATGTATATATTTTAACGAGGCAACTTTTAATATGCGTCAAGCTAAAATGTTTTGGACAGAAACTTTGACGTGTTATTAACGAGTAATAACGACGAAAATTACTGAAAAATTGGTTTGTACCGACCTTTTTTTTGTTGCTGTATACGGCGTTGAATTGCCTTTGTGACTAAAAATTGTGTCAATTCATCAGGCTACTTCTTTCAATCTTTATTCGAAAAGTTGAACTGCAGCTCTGCTTTATTTATTGAGCTCTATATCTATAACTGCATAACTTTACGGTCTTATCCATGCGTTCTTACAAAGGGGAGAAACATTGTTGTATTTACTTTAAGTAAATGAGAGATAGGGAAACGATTATTGGAAAAATAGGTACTTTAAATAGTTAGTTTAGTAAAATGTCATGCACGTGAGATTGAAAGGTGGAAGCTTTAAATATACAAAATAATGGAGTCCTTGACACGCTTAACTTATTCACAACGACATTTTCATTAACCTTGTCAATTATAATTTAACAACAGTATTTCAAACAACGGTATCGCATGTGTACTATGCACTCGTGACTCAATGCTAGTCCAGTTATTTACCAGTCGATGATTTCGGAAACAAATAATATTAATATTAACTTTTCTTTACTTTTATAAAGTATATTTACTTTTATAAAGTATATCGCGTCGCACTTCCACGGCAATTACATGTACGATTTATAATAAAAATGTATTGTAGTCGGCAAAATCGCTGTGTTTGAAGAAACATATGTTATGATATCGTGTGAATTGAAAACATTACTCTCATAGTTCTGTGCCATTTACTTTATTTTCCGTTTCACTTTCTATAGATTTCTCTGATTCTCTGAAAAAACTGTTCTATTCTAAACGTATAATAATTCATAATGTTTTACTTTGACTGGGAAATAACTTAAATCTCTTCTATTAAATCAACGTTGATTTTTGAATTTTTTATACATGTCTTCTTTCGTATTTTCCACTCGTTTTATCACGTCCATTAGGCCACGTTTCTCTTCTCCTGAACGCACCACCTTGACCCGACGACTGCGGTAGAGAAATCGGAGCTCGTGCTCTTTATTTCTAAAGGCAGGGATCCGTGAATCGCTAATGGCGAGGTCGTTCCCTCCCCGGGGCGGAATTTTTCCTATTTGTCAGAACTTGGTCTGAAATCGTCTGTTCTGAAAGAGGGCGCGATAAGTTGGAACGCCGGGGTTGCGTCCGAGAATTATATCGGGAAACGTGGCGCACGTGACCGAGTCATTGAGGCTGCGCTTTGGTTACACATGGAGGCCGATTTCTCGTGCAGATCGACGGGAGCGGCGCCACGCAAAGCGCTCGCGTGTAAATCCGTCGGTTCCGTGAGGCTGGCCCTGGATAGGATCATTTCAGCCGTAACACATTCCATTGTACGTATTCGACGAAATCCTCATCACGGATATTCTAACCGCGTTTTAATCGTTCAACGACGCCGCTTATTGTTGTTAACGTCGCGGCGTGACGATGAAAAACCTATACTTGGAGAATTTTGCTACATTTTGTTATCATACTTGATATCAATATGACGCGACGACGGAAAATAGAATCTTCCTCGCCTTCTTTATTGGAACCGCTCACCGGGCTGTTTAAGAGGATGCTAAACCCGTCTGTTTTATCGACATTTTTGTTTAGAATTAATCTTTTAATTGGCTTTTTAGAAATGCAAAACTCTGTTACGGAATT